GCAGCAGCAGCAGCAGCTGCTGCTGCCGCTGCACGAACCCGCCCTAGATAGGGCCCTCGGGGGGGGCCTCCCCACAGGCATGTTGGGGGAAGTTTGTGGAGCAGCAGGAAGTGGCAAGACGCAGTTTGTGTTGTCAGTTGCTGCTGAGTGCGTGCTGCAGCAGCACCTGCTGCAGCAGCAGCGCCAGCAGCTGCTCCACTGCAGCAGCAGCAGCGGCAGCGGGGTGGTCTACTACCTGCACTCGGAGGGGTCTTTCCCTGCCGGGCGCCTTGGGGAGCTGCTGCTGGAGCGGCTGCTGCGTCGCTCTGCAGCGAGCAGCAGCAGCAGCAGCAGCAGCAGCACAGCAGCAGCAGCAGCAACAGCAGCAAATCTGCTGCAGCAGATCCTGGTAGAGGAGATAAGCTGCGAAGAAGAACTTGTCCCCTGTCTCCTTTATAAGCTGCCAAGATTAATTGCTGCTAAGGGCCGCGTGTGTCTGCTGGTAGTTGATTCTGTTGCTGCGCTGCTGAAGCAAGGAGAAGCAGCAGCAGCAGCAGCAGCAGCTCGCAACAGCAAGCTCGTCAGGCTTGCTGCGCTGCTTCGCAGAGTTGCTGCTGAACACAGCTGCTGCTGCCTCGTCGTCAACCACGTAACAGCAAGAATAGTTCCCAGTTCTGCAGCTACTGCTGCAGCAGCTGCTGTTGCTGCTGCTGGGCCACGCTGGCAGCAGCAGCAGCAGCAAATAGACTTCGAGACAGAGGATGCTAAGAGGCGTCGGCTGGGTGACCCACAGCAGCAGCAGCGGCCGCTGATGCTGCAGCAGCAGCACGACTGGCCGCCAGCTGCAAACATGGCAGCAACAGCATCAGCAGCAGCAGCAGCAGCACGAGCTGCTGCAGCAGCAGCAGACCCCCCGGGGGACCTGCGCGCTGCGCTGGGGGAGGTGTGGGGCAGCTGTCTCCATTACCGTCTCTTTTTGTCTCGAATATTCCCGCGCTGCAGCAGCGCAGACGCTGCTGCTGCGGAGGACTTTGCTGCTGCTGCTGCTGCTGCAGGCCCCAAGCAGCAGCAGCAGCAGCAGGTGTACGGACAGCTGGAGCGCATGCGCTGCATGCACGTCTTGTTCGCCCCACACCTGCCCCCCTCAGCAACTCCTTTTGCCGTCACAGAGGCGGGAGTTGTTGATGCCTAGCTGCTGCTGCTGCTGCTGCTGCTGCTGCAGTTCGTAGGGGCTTTTTCGGGTTCCGGTGTACGTACACCTCAGCAGCAGCTGCCAGGGGCTCTCTGCATCCAACTAGTGCAGCAAGGAGGCAAAAAAAAAGACAAAGGGGAAAAAGTTTGGCAACTAAGTCAAATAAAGAGTCAAATATAAGAATAATAAAAGAAAAATAGAATAAATAATTAATTTAAAATGACACAAAGAGACACAAAAACAAAAGGAGACAATCTCCCTCGTCGCATGCTACAAACCAGGTTTAGGGCCCCCGGGGGCCCCTGAGGGCCCTTGGGGGACCCCCCAAGGGTACGGGGCCCCCTGGGGGCTCCAAAGGGGCCCCCAAGGGCAGGGGGGCCCCTGGGGGCCCCTGAGGGGTCCCCAGGCGTCCTGGGGGGCCCTGGGAACCCCTGAGGGGCCCCCAGGGCCCCTGAGAGGCCCCCCAAGGGGCCCCTCATAGCCACAGGGTACTAGCTCTTTTTCTTGGGCCTGCGGAGCTGCTGTACAGGCATTGGGGGGGCCCCTAAAAGGCCCATTCGGGCCCCCCTGCAAGAGTTGAGTTTTGGTGCTGCTAGCTGGAGCGTGCAGCTGCAGCAGCTGCAGCAGCGGCTGCTGCTGCTGCTGCT